GTAGGTTATCTAGAGTTTCGAAAATTCATTCTCCGTATGTTTATCTACGAGAAAAAGATGTACACATTCTGTTTGATAACCAATCAGATCTCTAGTGAGGTTTGTCGGGAAAATGCTTCACCGCATTGGTGGGAATCTCTCTTGTGAACTGTACCAACACTTGAAACATACTGATACAACATCATTGGAGGCTCAAGAACGCTTCATGCATTCTGTTATTATTGATTAGGCTTTTCAGACTTTTTTGAACATTTTCGCTTGAAAGCAGCGATCTGTAAGAAGAAAGCTTCATCGATTCAAGGAATTTCATTCGTACGCATGCTGTCTCTCAAAAGAATGCATGAAGCGTTTCTTGGAGCCCCATAGCGTTGTACCAATATAATCCACACCGAATTGTTAGTTTCGATGTTATCGAAACGTCTGTGGGTGAACTGATTTCTTCACAATGCTAGCGATCTTTTGGTAGAAAAGTTCAAAATTCTGGTTGTGGAAATGTAGTAGTGATCACAAGAAATTATTCTGTAATAAGTATATTCGATTTGTCTGTCATCAGTTTACAGTGAAGTGGTTTTTTCTCATACGAAGCAGAGACATTTTCTAGTGGATTGCATCTCATAGCGATATTTGGTGCCCATGCGATGCTCGGTTGAGCATACGCGTTAAGCTCCTTGGAATGACTAGGTAAGTAGAAAGCCCAAGACGCATCTTTAGATAGGTTGCCAATTGGAAATATTGAGTATATCGCAGTGGATGCCCCAAAAGACAGCTGATTTAGGTGATATTCTATACTGTGGTTAGTAGTGTAGCGAGGTTACATTTTAATATTAATAAAATACTTGTTTTTTGTTTCATTTTTACTATCGATTTTTTCAGAATTCATCTGCTTCAACGTCTAACTCAACATTAAGAGATCGGAAAAAGAAGTGACACCATTAAACTAGAAATTGTCGTTCATAATTACACTCGTCTCTTAAAATGACGTAGTTTTTTACTAGTCATCATTCGTACTATGATATTGATTCATCTCTTAGACGTGGTGCAATTCCGCTGTACGTTCGATAAGTTTTATTTGATGTACGTCATCCTTAACACTTTCGGGCTTCGCGTTTTACCTCTTGATTTTTCAAGGGATAGTTTTATTTCATTCAGAGTTTACTCTCCATTACCTTGCTCTAAATACAGGGTTAGATCGCTGTTACTCGATGGCGATCGTGTTCGTCTTTGCCCACATGTGTGGTGATTGCGCATGCGTATTTGATACCCTTCCGTTAATGCTTTTTACACATTATGCCTTCTCCTTTAAGTCAGTTCCTTTCAATTCCTTATTCGCTATTTGAGGTGTATTTTGATCTTCGTATCGTTGACTTTCATTTCTTAGTGTTGTAAGATTGCCTAACAAGCATTCTTACTATCACCATATAATTACACTACCATACGTTGTGACTTATGTGCGTAATAGTAATTCGTGGTGTGTAAAATTGACCAAAGGTCAGTAGGTTTTACTTCTGTCGGATTGTACGTCTCATTAGCTGAAATGATTTGAAGTTTTCAATCTTGAAAGTGGTTCCTATGCATAAATATATGAAAAAAAAAGACTGAACTTCTCTGTCGTGTTGGAGGCTGCCGTTCTTGTTTACCTGTTTACCTTCTGTTTCAAAGGCACGCTCCGGTATTGGGCACACTCAGCTGTTCCATATCCGAGCGTAGTACACAGACGAAGAACGTTGAGATCGCGGCCCTTTTGGCTCTTGAAACGCGTGTGAAAAAGGTGTAGAAGCTCGACGACTCGCAATCGGGGTCGGTCCTATCGTCGCTGAAACGGTAAATTTTCTCTCGCGCCGCTCCCCACTCATCACATGCAACTTCTTACAACCGAAGCAAGTACGACCCCCCCTCTACAAACTCATCAAAATACGACCCC